TTTGATCCGCCCCTTGGCATTGCGACGTCCCGCGATCTACGCGAAGAAGGCTCGGAACTAAGAGGAATTTTTGGTTTAGATCGGCGCGGTATTTTTATAAATATTGTCGTATGTTTCTAAGCGTAAAGAGACTGTATTTATAATGTCGAACAAATCTGCGATTATTTTTGTTGGAAGATGATTTACTTGGATTTCGTTCGGACAGTTCGATAGAAAATATTATGCCGGTGATTTTGGCGTTCGAATCGTCCAAAAAGAGTGATTTTTTAGCGTTTTACAGCGTTTTAAGTGATTTCCACCGGATTTCGACGTTTCGACCTGTCCAGGACTTTTACTTTTTTCGAATTTTCTCACGATTCAAGATGTTTCTCTTGATCACCTGTGCACATATCTTTGTATTTTAACTTTTTCTACAAGATTAAGAAGGTCCCACGCGAAATAAGGGTTGTTTAAACTTTTTATTGCAACATTTATCACTATTTTTCGCTATTTTAGCGATTACTTTCGTTCAAAGATGTTTTCCTTGAATTTCTATCATAGATTTCGATAGGAAATATTAAAGCAGTGATTTTGGCGTTTGAATCGTCCAAAAAGAGTGATTTTTGAGCGTTTTACAACATTTTAAGTGATTTCCACCGAATTTCGACCATTCGACCTGCCTAGGACTTTTACTTTTTTCAATTTTTCTGACGATTCAAGATGTTTCTCTTGATCACCTGTGCACATATCTATGTATTTTCACTTTGATTACAAGACTAACGTGGTCCCACACAAAATAAGTGTTGTTTAAATTTTTTGTAGCAACATGTATCACTTTCTTTCGCTATTTTACCGTTTATTTCCGTTCGAAGACGTATTGCCCAGATTTTTATTACAATATTCGATAGAAAATATCAAGCCGGTGATTTTGGTGTTCGAATTGCCCAAAAAGAGTGATTTTTGAACGTTTTGCGGCATTTTAAATGATTTCCACCGAATTTCGACGTTTCGACCTGCCTCCGACTCTTACCTTTTTTAATTTTTCTTGCGACTCAAGATGTTTCACTTAATCGACTCTGCACATATCTCTGTATTTTTACTTTCTCTACAAGACTAAGGTGGTCCCACGCGAAAAAGTTATTGTTTCAACTTTTTGTTGCAACATTTGTCACTTTTTTACACTATTTCACCGATCATTTCCGTTCGATGACGTCTTCTCCAGATTTATATAACATAATTCGATAGAAAGTATCAAGCCGGTGGTTTTGGAGTTCGAATCATCCAAAAAGTATGATTTTTAAGCGTTTTACAGCGTGTTTAGTATCGATGCGCTGTTAGATCTTCTTAACCCTCGTTCGCGAAACACGCTTGAAACTGGTCAACTTACCAAATTTGTTGTGCTTCCTGTATGCCAATATGATCATTTAGACATTTCAGTATGCCAGCAACATAGTTCGGTGCACCGCGCGTCGCATCTCGTCGACGCGTCCGCGCCGGTAATGCACGCGGCTAGGAGCGTTCTCGGCGCGATCAATTTTTAATTGGCCCGTAACAATTTCATTCGCTGCCGTGTGGACGGCCGGCCAGTAGCATCGGCATAATTATAACGGCACGGCTAATTAATCATTTGCGTCTGCACTCAGGGTTTGTATAATGCAGGGACTCAAGCAAGCAATAATTACGGCCGGCTCACGAATTAATCGCCGGAAACGGGTCACGTTCGCGGACTCCACGTGACACTTAAGCCGCGGGCCGCCGAAAAATATGGCGCCATTAAGGTACAAATCACTCTATTAACGGCCCTTTCGGCGCGGGACCGTAAATCATCGTTCCAACCAGGAAGCAATTTAGACGGGCCACAATATTTTGCCAGCACTCGGGAAACTCGAAAATCCCATTTCGGCGCCGATGAACGTTTCGCTGCTCTTTAGTTATACAAATTTTATTTACGTGCACGTCCGCGTTCTCGGGCTTTTCGCCGCGGCAGAAATAACGCGAACTATGCCGCGATTACGGAAAAATTATGCGGGTATTGTGCAAAAATCGGGCGACAATTAAAATCACCGTGAAAATTATGGGACAATCGTGCAATAATTGTGCAAAAATTATAGAACAATTATACAACGATTGTGCAAAAATAATCGAACAAACATACAACAATTATATGAAAATTATGTAAAAATTATAAAACAATTGTACAACAATTATGCCAAAAATTATAGAACAATTATGTAACATTTACATAAAAATTATATGTAGAACAATTTTGCAAAAATTATAGAAGAAAAATACAACAATTATAGAACAAAAATACAACAATTATATACAAATTATAGAACAATTATACAACAATAACGAAAAAATTATAGAACAATCATATAACAATCACATAAAGAACAATTATTAATTACTATTANACAAACATACAACAATTATACAAAAATGATACAATTGTCAAAAAATTATATAATAATTATACAACAATTACACACAAATTATAAGACAAACATACAACAATTATACAAAAATGATACAATTGTCAAAAAATTATATAATAATTATACAACAATTACACACAAATTATAAGACAAACATACAACAATTATACAAAAATGATACAATTGTCAAAAAATTATATAATAATTATACAACAATTACACACAAATTATAAGACAAACATACAACAATTATACAAAAATGATACAATTGTCAAAAAATTATATAATAATTATACAACAATTACACACAAATTATAAGACAAACATACAACAATTATACAAAAATGATACAATTGTCAAAAAATTATATAATAATTATACAACAATTACACACAAATTATAAGACAAACATACAACAATTATACAAAAATGATACAATTGTCAAAAAATTATATAATAATTATACAACAATTACACACAAATTATAAGACAAACATACAACAATTATACAAAAATGATACAATTGTCAAAAAATTATATAATAATTATACAACAATTACACACAAATTATAAGACAAACATACAACAATTATACAAAAATGATACAATTGTCAAAAAATTATATAATAATTATACAACAATTACACACAAATTATAAGACAAACATACAACAATTATACAAAAATGATACAATTGTCAAAAAATTATATAATAATTATACAACAATTACACACAAATTATAAGACAAACATACAACAATTATACAAAAATGATACAATTGTCAAAAAATTATATAATAATTATACAACAATTACACACAAATTATAAGACAAACATACAACAATTATACAAAAATGATACAATTGTCAAAAAATTATATAATAATTATACAACAATTACACACAAATTATAAGACAAACATACAACAATTATACAAAAATGATACAATTGTCAAAAAATTATATAATAATTATACAACAATTACACACAAATTATAAGACAAACATACAACAATTATACAAAAATGATACAATTGTCAAAAAATTATATAATAATTATACAACAATTACACACAAATTATAAGACAAACATACAACAATTATACAAAAATGATACAATTGTCAAAAAATTATATAATAATTATACAACAATTACACACAAATTATAAGACAAACATACAACAATTATACAAAAATGATACAATTGTCAAAAAATTATATAATAATTATACAACAATTACACACAAATTATAAGACAAACATACAACAATTATACAAAAATGATACAATTGTCAAAAAATTATATAATAATTATACAACAATTACACACAAATTATAAGACAAACATACAACAATTATACAAAAATGATACAATTGTCAAAAAATTATATAATAATTATACAACAATTACACACAAATTATAAGACAAACATACAACAATTATACAAAAATGATACAATTGTCAAAAAATTATATAATAATTATACAACAATTACACACAAATTATAAGACAAACATACAACAATTATACAAAAATGATACAATTGTCAAAAAATTATATAATAATTATACAACAATTACACACAAATTATAAGACAAACATACAACAATTATACAAAAATGATACAATTGTCAAAAAATTATATAATAATTATACAACAATTACACACAAATTATAAGACAAACATACAACACACACAATTATACAGAAATAATACAACAATTATATAGAAATTATAGAANCACAAATTATAAGACAAACATACAACAATTATACAAAAATGATACAATTGTCAAAAAATTATATAATAATTATACAACAATTACACACAAATTATAAGACAAACATACAACACACACAATTATACAGAAATAATACAACAATTATATAGAAATTATAGAACAATTATAAACAATTATGCAAAAATTATAGAACAAACATACAATTATACAATTATACATAAATGATACAACAATTGTATAACAATTAAATGAACAGTTATACCAGAATTATGCGAAAATGATATAACATTCATACGATCCAACCGTCCGTGCTCGCGCAGCAACACTGTACGCAACCCCGACGATCTGTTGGGCGTGTCCGTGAACAAAATTGCCGCTCCCCCCACTCCGCCCGGCGACTTTCCATCGGTCCGGTGTCCTTCGGGGTCCTACGCGATGGTGACGCCGCCGCTGATCGCGGGGCCGTAAACTCTCTACTTATTGCAATTCCGTACTTTCGCTTTTACGGTGTGACAGTCGGATTACGAAGGCGATGTCGTGGCTCGTAAAGCCGGCAATAATCGTAATTTACATCTGTTCCATAACGCGTGATTTACGAGGCTTAAGGATTTTCATAAGCCACAAATAGGTATCGGTTTGAACCGGTCGAATGCGCGCCGCATCTCGTATAATAATAACCGGAGGAATTCGGTTTTATCGCGGCGTGGAATACCACGTCGCGAGGATGCCGCTGCTTCGCCGTCGCCGCCGCGACTTTATTATTATAACTTAATCAAGCTGCCTCGGACACGCCGACGCCCGGAACGAGCGCGTTGCTCGCCAGATGGCGCCGCTACTCTGCGCGCGACACGATCGACGCTAACCTCTTGCCACTACGTTTCGTTCGTAGTTAATAGTGAGTGGAAGTTCGACTGGAAATCGATTGTAATTATTTCAAAGTGAAGAAAAAAGACGATTCATATTTATTGCGTGTTCGATTTATATTTATTGCGTAAATGTTTTAACATTGGTGACAAGAAATCGGAATTTTCTTCCGGCTGAAAAGGACGGAATTGCAATCGTAAGTAAACAGGTTATGTTAATAATTGAACAGTGGTGATTACTAGACCGCGGATTTTATGCATTATTAACAATCAATGACAAAAAAAATTATTAAAAGAGTTCAAGAATATTTTTATATTATATTGTATATAAGTTATTAATATTATTAAAAGAGGAATGACACTGTTATTTGACTGACCTTTCTTGCAGATCATTTTTCTTGGACAATTTTTATTTTGCATCAAGATCCACGGTCTTGTGATTGCTCTTTCAAATAGTAGTAAAAAAAAAACAGCAATAGTGTACACACATACAGTATTGTCATAAGTTATATTATAATAAATGTTGTAAATATAGTGAAAAATAATTTGTAAGGAAAAGACGAAAGGTGTTGGCCAAATTAGTAACGTAATAAAACCGAGTGGAAAGGGAACTGTGACAAAGTATAATAGTATATAGTGCGTTGAGACTTAAGATTGAAGTCCAATCATATGAGAAATTACAAATTGTTACAATTATTACAATTATTACAATTATTACATATTAATCTCTATTACATATTATCTGTACAAATTATAATACTGTTGCAATACTATTGCATTATATGTTGGCTGACGGGCTAGATCGGGCCTGACGCCTTATGTTTAAAAAAAAAAAAAGAAAAAAAGTGAAACAAAAACGCGATCAACAATTTGCATAATGTCCGCGGGCACACGCGATCCGTGGAAACTCGGAAGTGGAACCCGGAGTGATTGATCGCGAACACGATCCTCTCCAGAATTTCTCGCGTATTATTCCATTCGGCCTTACATTATCGTTACAAATCCATCCGATAGCCCGGTTACACGGCTTAACGCTCCGCGCCCCTCGACGACGACAACGACAACGACGACGGCCAAACCTGTTTTTAATTTATACGTCCGTCCCGCGCAACGGTCGCTTTATTTCCCGCTTTAATAGCTCGCCAACGGCATTATCATTAACGGGCTTCCCTCGGTGTTTTTCGTTGCTCTTGCTGAGTTCGGAGGCGTACAAAAGTTACCGGCGCTCCATTGCAGTTTCTTAGGAGAAATCTCGGGAATTATTTACTCGCGATCTGTCTTTAACGCGTCGCGGGAATACCGATATCGCCGATTATTATACACAGACGTGTGCTGCTTTTAACTATTGCCACCGAGTTGCTGACAGCACGCCTGTTCGGTTCGATTAGGTTTCGTGAGGGAAGCAGGGGATTCCTGAGGTCATTCGGAGTAACTTTTTCCTTTGCAAGAATTTCCTCCGAGGCGTCGTTGACGAGTTATTGGCGAAAAACGGCGGCCAATGAGAGGCGAGAGCGGCTGCCGCAAGGCGGGCCGCGCCAACGGGCGACCGAGGCGCGGTCCCGCTCATTCGCTCGGCCGCGTCGCGCCGGCCGAGTCACGTCTCTCATTGGTCGCGGTTTTTCGTTAATAACTCGTAAATGACAACTCGGAGAAAATTCTTGTAAAGGAAAAAGTTACTTCGAATGACCACATGAATCACTTCCCACTGTTCCATAAGTTTTCCCGTAACTAGGTCTACTAGATCTACTAGCATCTACTAGATCTACTAGTATCTAGTAGATTTATATACTAGCATCTACTGGATATACTAATGCCTACTATTGTAGATCTACTAACATCTACTAGATCTACTAGTACCTACAAAATCCAGTATCCTCTCCGATATTGTTCAATATTAGTTCCCCACATTTTCACCCAACTTCCAGCAAAATGTCCACAGAATCACCGGGTGGGGGGGGGGGGGGGGCGGGCGGCGGGCAATTA